TTATTCAAGAAACTTCTCTGTGCTTCTCATAGGACGACTGTTGTTACAGTAACAGTCGTCCGACTGTTACTGTAACGACTGAATGAACTTCTCAAACCTCTCCTACAGAAACCCACTATTTAATGTTAATAAAGTGGATTTCTTTCTTTCTTGGACACAGACGAAGCTACTGTTACGTCAGAATAAATCACTAGGGCTGTAACGTAGAAACCTTTCCCTGTCTTCACTTCACATCCTGAAAATATTCTCCATCATTTCATCCTCTGTTTTCAACCATTCGTGGATTAATTTCTTTTCATTGGTCAGAAAATACTTTGTCAGATGTTGGTGTCGTATCAAATCCACAAACACAAAAACCTCAGTAAATGAGAGCGCCCCCTAATGACACTCGGGGGGGGGGCTGCGTCTCACCTGCTCTGGTCGCCGTTTGTCTCCGTACGCTACATTAGCAGCAGCGTGTCACTGGATTAAAAACACACTAATCTCCTGTTAATCTCATCATCCAGACAGAACATTTTTAATTTGTTTTGCTTTCCTAAAATCCAAAACAATCTGTGAAAAAAAAAAGAAGCAAATAAGTGATGTATAGAGAGACGTGTGGGGGGGGGGGGGGGGAGGATTACCGGGGCGTGATGGATGAACGCTGCAGCTTCAAACACACACACGTCCGCCAGCAGTTTTTAATGGATTAAAAAAACAAATGTGAGTTTATGACTGTGAACAGACTGGAGAATATAACGACATCACTTCCTGCTGCTGCCGTGACAACAGGAAACAAATAAACAGGAAATAAACAAATATTAATTATTAATTTAACAGACATTTTTAATTTTTAAACATTTTTCAGGTCTTTAAGAAAAATTAAAACCTGTTTTGAATCAAAAACTTTTTTATTTCAGTTTAATATCGAACTGGTCGGAAACAGGAAGAGAATTTACTGCTCTACTTTACAGCAGTGTTAACCAAAGTAGGGGGCGGGGACCATGGAGTTATTGCGTTGGGGTCGCAGCAGGTCATATTGATCAAATTTTAATTATTCATTTTATTTTATTTGTGCCACTCTGGGAAAAATTCACTGATTTTTTTTTTCTGGGTTTGAAGCAATAGCTGTGAATGTGTGGACCTGTGGGGGGCGCTAAAACAGTCCATCAGTGTCTGTAAAAACCTTTAAAAGTTCAGTTTATTTCTCCTTTCTGAGTTGACGCTGACGTCACTGGTCGACCCAGTTTTTGTGGTTTGTTTTAGACGAAGTCTAACTGTTCTTATCCTGACGGTTCAGTGACTTCAGTGAATATTTTAACATGCAGAGTTTCCAGAGACCAGATGTTTCTTCTACAGTCGTCAGCTGAGGTCGGGCCATCGCCAGCGTCACCCTATCACAGTTGAGTGTGTGTGTGTGTGTGTGTGGCTGCTGAATAGTACAGTACGGTTCTGCCCTGGGACTCTGCCTCCTGTTCAATCCTCAAACAGGCTTTGTTAGCGTCGTCGGCCTAGAAGCTAAATGCTATAGTTGTCCATCAACCCGGGGCTCGGGGACCGTTCTCTGTGTTCTAAAGCTGAAGTGCTTTCAGAGCTTCAGGGCCTGTGGACGACCTGCCCGTACATCCAGCCGCTGTGCAGGGAGCGCTGGTGCCACGCCACGTGTTCTGCCAGCAGGTTTGAGCAGAGCTGGTGTGGAGCTGCTGTCAGGTGTAGTTAAAGCTGCTGGAGTCAATGAACACGTGTGGATTAACCATGGAACTGTCAGATTATTATGTTAGATATAATCCCGTTGTCAGAGGACAACAGTGACACCTCAGGTGAAGGGGGGGAGATCAGGGGGACACGGGGTTGGTTTCAGACAAAGACGCTGTTTAAATCTGACACATTTGAATTTAAACCACTGACATCGTGGAGGGACGGAGAAAAGAATGTACTTCCTGTTCTGGAGACACTGAACGTGTCGTCGTTATGGAACATGTCGCTTCATTTTACACTCTCTCTGAGGAGCCTGTTCTGCTGTTTGTCAGAGTACACACTCTCTCTCTCTCTCTCTCTCTGTATCTCTCTCTCTCTCTCTCACAGGACGTGTTGTGATACTTTTGAAATTTTATTTTTAGTGATAAATAGGTGTAAAACTCAGGTTTGTCACATTCTACTTTTTAAACCAAACTAATAGAAATGTTGAAGTTTCAGTTCTGTTAATGAAGATAATTAATATTAATTAATAAGATCATACAGTAATTCTATATTATTAAAGACCAGGAGGTGAACATTAGGAGTAAATCATTTCATTGTTGGTTTGGAGGGATGGATTTAAATCCAGTTACAGCAGCTGCTTGAAGCTGTTAGTTGAGTACACACTCTCTCTCTCTCTCTCTCTCTGTATCCCTGTTCCTGCAGCTTTTTTCATGCTGGAGATGTGGGTGATTTTTTAAAAGTTTGGATTCTTTTTAAAGATTTCAGGATTAAACTTAACTTTCACATCTTCAGCTCAGTTGTAGCAGGAAGACATTAAAAATGTCCTCTGGTCTGACGGGACTCGTCCAAATGCTGCAGTGAGAGAAAAGTCCAAGTGGAGAAACTGATGTTCAGAACGAGCGACATGAAATATTTACACTTTTGTCTTCTGAGACTCACTGGAACTGATGGACTTTTATAAAAACATCTTTTAAACATTTGTCTCTGGATCTTTCCGTCCCGTCCTGGACTCCAGTCCCTGTGTTTGTGTTTCTGTAATCAGCTGTGTTCATTAAGAACCAGCAGGGGGCGAGCTGTGCTAATTAATTAGCTTCTTCCTTCGTTCACTGCCGTACTGCGAGTGTACTACAGCTGAAGTATTTCTACAGCAGTCTGGGAAAGTTGAACGTTCCACCAGTAAACAAACAGAACAGAACGCAACACGGAAACCACTTCATACAGTCCAGTCCTTGTGGTCACAGTGAGGTACTGCAGGTCATATTAGGCTCTGACACAGTTGGACTGTAGAAGACCCCGACCTCAGGGTCTGCTGTTGGAACGTTCTAAAAGGCTCTTAATAATCCTCATTCCTCCAGAGAGAATTCCAGCTAATCCAGATTATCCAGTGAATTAGCTCTGAGTGAGAGGAACACATCGAGGTTGAATAAATAAAATGTTCAGCTGCAGCTGCAGCTTCCTGGTCTCTCTCTGTTTAACAGCTGATGTGGGCCCGAGGGGGGGGGGGGGGGGGGGGGGGGGGGGGGTGGGGGGGTGCTCCGTCTTATAGACACGGGGATTATTGTCTGTTTGCACCTTAGTGCCGACTGCAGTGCTAAAGTACTCAGCAGCTCCCCCTGTGGCAGGCTAACGTCATGTCGATGCTACATCCTGACTGAACCGCATCAAATATTAATACACCCCCCCCCCCCCCCCCCCATCTGTG